GCCAACCCGAGGATGACTTTTAGTTCGATATTGGATCCAACGGGTTTATTGCCTTGAAAACTATGTGGCATGTTACTTGTTATTCTTGGTACCCAGAAAATAATTGGTGTTCATATTGTAATATGTTTTAAGTGAAAAATATCATTTATCATGTTCTTGAGAAACATGAGTATTTTAACTGTTGAATTGTGAAACTTTCTTTTTAAAACAGATTATCTTTATCAAAATTGTATGCCAATCTTGTTTTTGTGATATATATCTTATTTTGGAATTGATCCCTATTTTCAAAACCGTATATACTATCCATGTTGTTACTTGCTGAGCTATCAGCTGACTTAGTTGTTTATCATTTCCAGGTGTTAGAAGGACTTAGAGTGGACTCATGGCGTAGCAGGGACTCAATTGCATGGACCTCTAGGGCATTCATTTATTTTGTTTTAGCTTGTTATGTCGGTTTTGTGCATACATTGTGGTTGAGTTTTATTTAGAATTATTTTATTTTATGGGCGGTTTGTGTTCCATTTAGTATATATTTTTGGAAATTAGTTATGGTTGGTTATACCATTTCTACTTATGGCATGTCACTGGATTGGGTTTTGATTTATTTATTTATGGACTATCGTCACATTTATTATTTGTGATTTTGGGTTCACGTTTAGGCTTACGTGTGCCTTGGGCTAAGTCCCTGTGGGCCATGACCAGTCATACCTGGGTTTGGGGTGTGACAATTGTGGTATCAGAGCCGATCCAAGCACATAACCATGTGGGTCACTTATTCTGGCCTGGCTACGAGCTTGTCGTGGTATTCTGATTGATTGAAGATGTGAGGATTTAGAAGTGGGGGGGGTTTGTAACACCCTGTCTCACATCGGGAGTTTGCATGGATGATCTTGGGCATATAAAGCACCACTACCTTGCTACTAAATAACTTGGACTTAAGCTTTTGGGTATTGTTGGTGGACCCACAAGTTACTTGGGCCAACAAGTAGTGGAGCATTACAAGAATTCTCAGTACTTTTGCAGGCCTGCAGAGATACTGGGAGGTGGTGTTCTTCGCTCGAGCAAAGATTCTTGCCCTCGAGCTCGAGCAGTCCTTCTTGACATCAAGCGGTGGTCTTCTGTCTATAAAACTTCTTGGAGTTGGTATTCTTTGCTCGAGCTAAGCTTCTTGTGCTCAAGCAGTCCAACTTATTTGTCTCTGGTAGCTCGAGCGACACTTCTTGTGCTCGAGCAGTCTGTGCGTATATCAGATCGTAAAGTCACCTTTTTGAGTCATTATTTTAGTCACTTTTTTTTTTAAAATCTCTATCTCTCTCTCTAAACATTTCCAAACCTTATTTTCTCTCACTCTCTCTCTAGAAACCATCTCTAAACCGTGAATACACCTAGATCCGTTGATCTTTACACCCTAGTTCCTTGTTAGAAAGGTAGAGCACAAAGAGGGATTCGTTCTAATCGGAGCATAGTTGGTTTTTGGATTTCTTCGAGTCTCAATCATTGTTCTTCCTTGTCTTCAAGCTTGAGGTAGGGATTTTTCACACTTCCTATGAATTTTAACTTAGTTATTTGTTTTATAAAACATCATTGTGAAGAAGAGGATTTTTGAACAATCTAGGGTTTTGGTCAGAAATCAAAAAGAAGGATTTTCAAATGATTTGTTGGAAATGAATGTGGATAGGTATTTAATGTGGAGATGTGATGAAATGGTGGGTTTTTACCTTTGGAAATGGTTTATAAAGAAATGGTTTTTTTTTTTTTTTTTTGGCCTTAAAATCTCAAATGTTGATTTTGTAAAGGTAATTGGAATTATATTGAAATTGTGAAATTGGATTGATATTGATGAGGATGGTGGAGTTGGATATGTATTATCACTCATATCTTAAATTTTGAAAAGTTTATCTTTATAGAAATTATTTATTTGTTTAGAGATATCTGTATTGGGTTATCAGTAGAGGATGGCTATAATTGTTGTAAAAATTACATGAGGATTAGGTGAATTAAAACCAATTTCTCATTCATTTGCATTGAGCACTGTTGCATACTTAACACATTGTAAATGTTAGTGTTTTGAGAAAAACGGGTGAATCTGGGAAGTAAATGTTGTCTTGTTGAAATAAGTTGGCCTGAGTGTCCATGGTGAAAGTCCTAAAACTGCGCGTGTATTTGGGTGCCGATCCCGCGGATGAAATTTCTATAAAATGGTAATAGTAGTGCTTGTATAGCCTACATTTACACGGGTGCCGGTTTACGGTTTCCTACGGACAAATTTTCGTGAAAGGTTGTATTTGTTTCGGGATTCCCAAAGTGTGATTCATGGCCCTATTTTCTATTGTAAAGGAAATGATTTATGAAATTGTGATATTAACCTGTCATTGCATGGTTTTGAAAAGAGATGTAAAAGGTTTTATCACAAGCATTATATATGCATTCACCTTATATCTTTGTTAAGATTTATATACTGTATTGGATTATTTCTACTGGGTTTTGGCTCACCCTATATGGGAAACCATCTTCAGGTGCTGATGACATGCCTCCGCCAAGGTAATAGCTTGGGCGCACTTGCAGCAAGAGCTTCATTTTGTTTAATTGTTGTATTTGCTTTTGTACAAGCCTAGGACTTTATTTGTATTGAGTTTAAACTCATTTTGTTGTAACCAAGCATTGTCATGGAAAGATATAAGCCTTTGGGGCATTTCTTATTTGTTTACCTTTCATTTCATGTCTTTAATTTGTATCACATGCTATAGATTCAGGGTTAGGACTTGTGAATGTATAATTGCATATGTTACCTTTTGTAACTTGAGACTATATGGAATGGAAAGGATATTGTATTCAGAATGGCATTGTTATTTATTAAAATTGTGGAAGGGTTTATTATCTCTTATTTCGGGGCGTTACAACTCAATAATATACAATGAAGAATGTCAAATAGAAAAATAGCAGGTGCTAAACAAAAGGTTTGACCAGAGAGCAAATGAGGGAAAGTTCATCGAGGGTAATGTGGTTAGAGCCTATTACTTTCGAGTCGTCATAATGGCAATCCAACTTAGTTGACTGGAGATCTCAAGATATAGGTTCAAAGAGACAACCAAATTATGGATGACTCTTCAAAAATCACTAAGGGAGTCTATTTCCTATCCATTCCTATGATCAGAGTGATATCTACAACATGTGTTGTATGTAGGGGACTTAGGGCAAGCCATGCTTTTAATGATCACTTATATCTTGAAAAATCTAGAGGGGTATCTTTCAAGAGGAGTACTTAAAAGACTCAAAATAAAGATCACCTATATGAGTGTGAAGGGGCCACTTCTATGAGAATTAATAAGGCTAAATTCTCCAAAGCACTCATGAAATACCAGGGCATGCCAAGGCCAAAACGGGCACAACCGTGAGAACTAAGCTGTGTCCAGAGATATTTTGTGTGAATTCTATTGTCTTGGCTTACACAAATGACTGAACAGTTCAAGACATCACATCCATCGATTAGCTAGTATGTCCGATAGTCTTTCACTAAGGAAGGTTCAAAGCCAAAAGCTATCTATTCCTATTCAAATATTTCCAATTGAATTCTCTTTAAGTCTGCATTGAGTCTTGCATACTTTTCCGTCATTTCATTCATGTGGGGAATTGTTGGAAAAATGGTTTGGAAACCATTAATAGGTAAATGAGAAATTAACTCCAAAGTGCACCATTTGTGTATGGTTTTAAGATGAAATTTATTTAATTTAAAATTAAATTTATTTGTTATTTATTTGGGTCAAAACTGAACCAAATTCGATTCAAAATTCAAATATGTTTGAAAGAACAGTCATATATGTTCTTTGCACCTATTCCATGGAAGCGTTGGGTCTCTTCATAGAAAAAAGATGTATCTTTTCATTGAAAAGTCACCATGACCTTTTGAAGAGCCACCATTTCACCTATATAATTTGACCCTCATTGCATTCATTAAACATCGAATTCATCTTGTGCTTCTTTTCTTCTGCACTCTGTCTTTTCTGTAAGAGAATTCGGCATAGTAAGGTTCGCCAAACTTGTCGTGCTAGTGCTGTTTCTGCAAGATTCGATCGTTGTATCCTAGGAGAGGAACGTCCAATAAAAACTCGTGAGCACCGTAGTGGGGGACAAATTTGTCTCAAGGAAATTGTGTCCAACACAAGCCTTGATCAAATTTGTTTTCCGTTTCCAAATTTTTATAATCTATTTATAAGTTTTCTACTTTTCTGTAAGTGTTTTTTGGTTCTCGGTATATGGTTTGGTTTGGTTTAACCCAAACAATTTACGTTATATTCAACTTATATTTTTTTTATATACAATTTGGTAATATATTTGGTGCAATTATTGCATGTTACACACAAGATTTATTCCAATAGATTTGCCAATGATGAAGGGATTTTGCCAATGAGATTGTTTTTCAGAAACATTTAGCTCCTTAAGCCCACAAAGACTTCTAAGAGCTTTTGGAATTTTCCCTTTGAATTTGTTGTTTGATAGATCAACAACTACAATGGCATTTTGGATCTTCTCATATAAGATCGGTGTGCCTTTGCTAGTTATTGTTATTGAATACATAATAGTCATTTCAGATGGAAAATATATGAATGTCACATTAAGTCCTCTAGTAGTCACGGCAGGAAAATTAATTTTTAGCGGCGTTTCAAAAACGCCACTATAAGCCTAAAAAACGCCGTCATAATTAATAACGACGTTTAATATTTTCGTCGCCAATACAGCCGCCACAATAGCTTTACAACAGTTTAAAAACGTCGCTAAAAACATTAGGCAGCGTTTTAACAAATGTCGCGAAAACTTTGACGCCAGCTATCTTTCCGTCACATGACATCATGATGATGTCATTTAGCCACTTTTTTTCAAAAACGCCACTTTTTTTCTTTCTCTTTCTTTTTCTTTTTCTTTTTCTTTTTTTTTGGCTGTTATTCTAAAATATAGCATAACATAGCTAAATAATTTAATTAAAATTTAACTAAAATTTAGCATAACACGACCAAAGAATTTAACTAAGAAGAAAGTTTGAGAATTTAACTACCTGTATACAAGAGCAATGGTGTGTACAATCTGTGATTTGGCAAAAGAAAATCACTAGAAATTCAATCTTATACCACTCTTGAAGCTGCTCTCACCAAAAAATCAAAGAACCAAGAAATCAAAGAAAATAAAAAAAAAAATAACAAGGTATGAGGCTCTTGGAACAGTTTTTCAGCTCTTCCTCCAGTATGCTCATACCACAATGACATCCTATTGCAATTTCAGTGTCTAGTTGCCCATCCATGGATTGTTGGAACTCCATTATTTTTATTTGTTTCCTACAATTACAATTAAAATCAAGTAACAAAATCAAAATATACAATTTCAATTTGAAACATAAAGAAACTATATACCTTTACTCGAACAACTGAGATGTTTTTCTGCCGGTCATGTGATTTAATGTCTTCTTCAACTAAATTGGCGTTCCTTTCTTTCTTTCTTTCTTTTTTTTTTTTAATGAAAACATGGAAAGTAAATACAGGTAGAGATTGGTAACAAAAAACATTTTTTCATGTATATACAGGCAGAGATTGGTAACAAAAAACAAAACAAAAGAAGAGGGGGTTGGGATAGAAAGGAGAAAAAAAAATTACTAGCTTATCTAGATAACTTACGAAGGTTCAAGATCACGGTGAATTATTGCTTCGGGTCTATTCTCATGCAAGTAATTCATCCCCCTGAAAAAATCACCAAAAAATTATGTAAGTAGAAGTATTGAAGTCAAACTGCAGGTAACACCAAATAAATATAATCTACAGCATTCAATGAGCTAAAGAGGAAACAAAAAAGAAAAGAAAAGAGGAGCCATAAATTGATTGAACCTTTGGCACGTGTCCAGCAACTCAATTTAAGAAATCCTAGTCCGATATAATGTTGAAAAGTAATTTTTCATTCTCAAACAAATAATCTAGAACCTCAAAAGATGTTTTTGGCATCTTAACATCTCAAGGAAAGACAGCAAGACCTAAATAAACAAAATCAATTGTCCAGAACTTCAAACAGAAGACTAAAAAGTGTTGTTGTCAAAGTTTGATCCACATCAACCTTTCCAGGTCATTTGTATTAAAGTGAATTCTATCGAGGAACTAGATAACTACAAATGTAGGGTGTGAGATTCACAGTTGTTCAAGCTTCACAAAAGAAAAGATTACCAATTCCAGCAATGTCTTTTGCAGAAATGTATCAAAATCTCAGCCCCTTCAATCATTTTCAACTCTTGTTACTTGCAACCCTATTAATAAAACAGAGCTCCCTCCAACCTTTAATATGTTTACATTATGTGTCCCAACTCCAAAAATCATTTCTACCAACCACAACATATAGGTGTTACTATTTAGTTTTTGTCACTAATGGATTGTTATGTTTTGCACCAATGGTATCAACTATATCCATTGTTGCCAAAACAACTTTTTACAGCACTGTTGCAAGAATTATTGTATAACATGTGCCAAAATCAATTTACTTTATTTTCTTCCATATATATAGGATTGTTCAACATTATTTTTATATAGTTTATTCTAAATCTTATGATTCTCTATTCGATCCATGATTTGCAAAATTATGGTTTTGATTCATGATATGCTTCCCAATTTGACAACTATGCTTTGATCTCGTTTTTAATAGTATTAGTACTATGAACTTCTTCTGGTGCAAATGCCCAACCAACTGCATATAAAATGGTCTGATTTTAATCACAACCATTTGTAACAAACCTTCTACCTAGTTTGCAGTTAGAAAAACTATGGATAAATCTTACTTGCAAGCAACTGTGAACATCCAACATGAAGTCATGAAAATGAATCCTCTTTTTCCTCCAGCTGCTAGGCCTGAGAAGGAAGAAGTAAGAATTCATAGGTGAAACCAGTGAATGGTAACTGCTTTCATATTCCCTCCGCTTTAATCCTATGGCGTACAATTTGTAGATAAGTCTCAAAATTTCATGTCAATGTTATGGTAACTCATAAGGAAATCAAATTATAGCAAAGTAAATATGAGAAATAAACTTACAATTGATCAAAAAATAAGTCCATCAGCATAGTTTTTCCTGTTCTTACTCCTCCATAGAGATAAAGTCCTTTCATAGGTGAGCAAGACAACTGAAGAATGAAATGGGACAACAACCACCTACTCCTAAAAATGAAATAAACAGCAAATCAATGGCAATGTAGTAAAACTTGACAATTGCCATTATCTTATTAGAGATAATGGTATCAATGAGATAACAATTTGTCATATAATCAAGTGATTCAGAATGCTAGATATTGGAAAGAAGATAAACAATTTACCTGCTGCCTTTCTCAGAAGCAGAATAGCGATCTAACCAGCAGGTGTGAGCTGAATCAACAAGCTCATCATAGAGTCTCTGAAGCTCTCTTAAGGTGCCTACCTGCAGAATCTCTGTCAGTATATCCTCCCCCAATAACTGATTCTAACAAATACACGACATCATCAAAAAGGTAAACTTTTGATTGAATATAAGAAGCTAAATCATTTTAAGAAAATTCAGAATAACATTATCAATTTATTACTTTCACATAAAGTTGTATGCCCATCCAGTTACCCTCATCAATGCTTAAGGCACATTACAAACTACTCTCTTTTCCTTATGGAAACTTAAAAACAAGTATGAATGAGTGCATTGATTGCCATACCTGACAACTATCACCATCCACAAGTTCACCTGCGGTAATTCTACGTTCATACTCAACCAAAGACATGTGAACATAGTGCTAAAAGATTATTGTAACTAGATTGAAAAAGGTAAAAAGAATATCATAAGAAGCAAACCTTCACTGGTTACTTTAGCAGCATCAGCAGACAGAGCTCTTGAGATCATATAGGAGGGATGGGTATTTCTACAAATTTCGGCATTGTAGGAGAGCTTGTAGACAGAACCAAAACTTGCACAAGCCAAATAATTCTGTTTTCTTGCTAACCCACTTAAGACATCATCTTCGACCCAGGCCTCCAATTAGAATTACTCAAATCATGATTGTGTAAAAGAGCTTTTATAATTACAAGTGTTTCACAGGACCAATAAAAATAGTAACAAAAAAAACAAATTATATATTGCTGTCAGAATGATCATGGTATATTCTCTCAAGTACAGATAATCAATAATCATTGCACAGTTACGAAACTCAGAAAAGAATCAATAAAAATTTATAAACAGTGACCAAAAAAGGTAACCAGAGTTCAATTATTAAAAATATAAAACAGGAACTAGAAATAAAAAATTACATAAGAAAATTGGGTAAAAAATAAATATATACATCATAAAAGAAGATATAAAAATTATCCAAGTATAAATAAAAACATTTAGCATACTGAGAGGGGAAAAAAACTACAAATTATCAACAAAGCTTGGAAAATTGGAATCTTACAACAAGATTGCAAATTGGAAAAAAAGGGGGGGAATATCAAAACATAAATACACTTTTTTTATAATTTATTTATTAGGGACTGAACAATCAAAGTCAAAACAATTCAAAAAAGAAAAAGTCAAACCAGGGAGAAGTAGATTGAGGGTAACAAAGGTCAAAATTCACCTCTCCAATCTCACCTCAAATAGGAAGGTAGAAAGGGATCCAGCCCAGTTACTTGCCAAAACCCTCAATGCCCTGTATGTTGCCAACAAGGATCAAATAGCAAGCAGAACTTTTCACTTTAAATTTAAATCACTAAAGCTCATTACCTCAATAATAGTTCAATATGAAAACTTACTCTCATAATCATACCATAGTTCACTCCCATAAAGATTTAACTCTTAGCACTTAAAAAACACCAGTCAGCCAAAGGTGTTTTGTAGTTACGGTTTACATCACCAAAACTTTATGTTTCTTGCATTATAAACCTAAAAATCCTTTTGCCTCGTCTTTAAAATACCTAGAAAACCATTCCTAACAACCATATCCACCAAGCTTTAACACATAAATATCGCCTTATATCAGCCTTATTACTGCTGTTCTACATTAAGTTCGGTATCGTAGCTACCAGGTGGATGTTGTTCTGCATTTTTCCATATCAAGAAATGTGGCATTTGGTTCTCTTTCTATTGTTTCTCCTTTATTAAGTAGTAAGGTTATGGGCAACATCACCGAATTCACATGCTGTTTTTTTATATGTTATTATTCACCAATGTAACAAAAGTTTTTAAAAAAGATCAGTCACAGGAAGGCTGCATTATGACAAAGCTGTGTGTTCCATCTTGGTCTCAACTCTCAATATGCCAACAAAAGTTTTTTAAAAAAGATCAATCAAATGAAGGCTGCACTATGACAAAGCGGTGTGTTCCATCTTGGTCTCAACCCTCAATTTCTATCAGGACTTAATTTTCTGTTTGGCTGGTTGATTTATGTGGATATGTATTTCTAAAATCTATTTTACAGGTCAATTTCTATTCCAATGTTTACCTACAATCAAACAATAACATTTTGTCCATCCAACATTGCCAAATTCTACACCTGAAATGTTTCTTTATCATTAGTATTAAAACAAAATCACAGAAAAATAAAAAATATAATAGCAATTATGAATCCAGATAAAAATAAAGCAGCAGCACAACCTAGGCTTATAATCGGGGTAATTATCAGAAGAAATGTAAACGAAAAAAAATTTAAAGAAGATTGAGTAGATTAGAAAGAAACATTTAGCAGCTTCATGTGTGTGCGTGAGAGAGAGGTGAGATACATCTACCAAATCCAAAACAATGAACTCAAAACAATGAGAACACACACACACACACACACACATATATATATACTAGCGGTTGGGCACACACGATGTGTGTGCAAATTAAATAAATAGGAATAAAAGAAAAAAATAATGAAATTAATATTATAACGTGTATTTAGCTTAAGTGGTATGAGTACTCATACTTAAACCCATGGTCATGGGTTCAAACCTTACCCATCTCTTTGTTTAATTTTTTTAAAAAAAATAAAAAACACCGCCACATGGCATGAGGAGAATAAAGCAAGCTTCAGGACACCATATTATGTGTTCACTTTATAATAGTATAGATATATATATCAAAATAGATTTGAAAAATCAGAGATCTGAGTTCATACAAAACAAATGCATATATAATAAAAACTTACAGATCTGAGTTCTACAACAAAAAGAAGCGACCGACTGAGCGAGATCTGCAACAAAACAGAGCAGCAACAAACTTACAGATCTTCAAAAAAAAGGGGGGGCGCTAAATGAGCTTCAAAATCTGGATTGACCAAAGGACCAAAATCGAAACTCACAAAATCGAAAGAGAGGAGAACCAAAATCAGAAGATAAGCGCAAATCTGGTGACCAAAATCTACAAGTTCTGAAATCCACAGATCTAAAATCGATTGAGTGTTTGAAATCGAGAGAGGAGTGTTTGAAATCGAGTGAGTTAGCGAGGGTTTCTGAGCTTCAAATCAGTGAGAGCGAGGGTTTCTGAGCTTCAAATCAGTGAGAGCGAGGGTTTCTGAGCAAGAGAGTGAGTTTGTTTGAAATCGAGCTTCAAATCGAGGGTTTCTGAGTTTTGGAAGAGAGAGAGAGAGAGTGAGCTGTGGAAGAGTGAGACTGAGTGAGAGTGAGAGTGAGAGTGCTAGACGGTTTGAAAGGGACGGAGTTTTGAATGGTGTGAACTAATTGACCCAAAACGGTGCTGTGTAACTGAGATCCAGAGACAACGTTTTCAAAACGTTGTGTATCATTAATCTATAATGGCGTTTCCCTAATCGCCATAAAACAAGCGTTGCCGTACGCTCTATTTCCTGTAGTGAGTAGACTTTACCAACTGAATTCTAAGAATTATCTGACAAAGCTGCATATATGTTAACTTTTCTGCCTTTTTCATTTTCATTGCATTCCACTTTTGAAATAATTTTGACGGGAAGTTACCTGAGAAACCATTGTGAGAGAGATCAATGATGCGCAAGATTGGAAACTTTAGATTGGTTTAAAGATTCTCAATGGTACCATGGAATCTGTTAAATTGCAAAGCAAGAACTTGTAACTTAGGAAGATCTCCCAAGGAAAAGAGAAAAGTATCCTCAATCTCATTGTTTCCAAAAACAAGAATCTTAAGCCTTATACAATTTGCCAATGATCTTGGTACTTGCCTATATAATTTATTTCGATTTAAATCAATCATTGTCAAACTGATCCCTGTACTGAATGTCTGTGGAATAAGCCTATGAAAATCATTGCAGCTTAGATTGAGCACCATCAAAGAAACAACAAAACTTGTCAAACATTAAGGAATTGTGTCACTTAAGTTATTATCAAGAAAATCTAATATATAAAGAGAACTATTATAGCAAATTGATTGTGGAATTTGTCCTGTCAATAAATTGCCAATGACCCTATAAATAACGACAGACGGTAGTGGAACTGGGAGTGCTCGTTGTAGCCTGTTGAAACTGAGGTCTATTATTTTTAATGAATTCCATGAATATTTGAGGAACAAAGCCTGAGGAATAGTGCCATGAAAATTGTTGCCTCCCAGATTGAACACCTTCAGAGAAATACAAAAACTGGCCAAACTTTGAGAAATGGTGCCATCCCCCTCTAAGTTATTATCGGACAAACAAAGTGGGCCTAATTTGTATAACAAACATGGCCTAGGTATTAAAGTGGGCTTTTACTATTGATTTGCTAAATTCCAAGCATAAAAATTGGATGTGCTGAAAGGTTTAGGTTTTAAATTTAAATTAGCAGAGCGATTTTTTGCAATATCAAAGGCTTTGGGCTTTCATAGGCTGAAGTTGAATGTTAATTACTGTTTTCTTATCACCGCATCCATGACCCAAGCCTTGGGGTAGCCGGTTGCTAACCTGATTTAACCTAATCCAAAGAGAGGGACCCACCACCGGGGCACTAATAGAGCTTAACCACACGTAACAGATGAGCCCAAGTTTCAGAGGGAGTACAAACGAGGTCTCCGAAGAGAGCTAGCTGCGAAGCAGCAGAATTCGTCCCTTCCAAGAATCAAATCCGAGTCACACTTGTGAAAAGGGATGCCTTCTCTACTAGGCCACCACCCCCGGTGGTGATGTCCATTACTTAGCTTGACAAAATCTCACATTAACAAACTTTTACCTTCTTTAAGTGTTATTTTCAAAAAATTGTATAGATTAAAAATGTCAATTTAGGTTATGAGTCAAAATACCATTATAAAACACTAACTAAAACCACTACACTATTGATCATAACTAACACTATGTGGTGTCATAACGAAATAAACATAGTAACAAAAATAGAAAAAATCACTGAGTTATAGTCAATACCACAATGATCTGTAATTTTTATATCACATTCAATCATAATTATTATAAAAATAAAAATAAAAACTAGTTTGGATTATAATTAATACTGCATAACCAACATTTCAATGAACATAAATTTATTTTTCTTAATTATAATATCAAATTTGTAGAATCATGTTACAAGAAGAGGCTACTGGTATTACTTCAAAAGAGAAATTACATATTACACAAAAGCATTATTGAGAATTACACTCACAAAAGCTAATCAGTTTGTTTGGTTTTGATTTTCAAAAAACAGTTTTCAAAAAATTTTATTTTTTGATTTTCTGTATTTTAATGTTTTCAATGAATTTTTTAAATATTTTAACCAATTTTTTTTTAACTTTTAGACACACCTAACATAAATATACTTAAAAAGTATAATATTTGTGAAAAAAAATCTTTAAAAAATTCACTAAATACCAAAAAATATGAAAATTCAGTACATTTTTTGTATTTTTGTATATTTATTAATTTTTTAAAACATTTTTTCACAAATATTTTACTATTTAGATACATCTAAGTAAGGTGCATCTAAAAAAATAAAAAAAAATTGCTTAAAATTTTGAAAATATTCACTAAAAACAAAAAAATACAAAAAATAAAAAAACTTACTTTTCAAAAAATTAAATTGAAAAAACTAAAACCAAACACACTAAATAGTATGCAGATGGATAAAAATTACAAAATAAAATACCACTTACTGAGTTAATTTCTTCTCTTCCTTTGCACCCTTCTCTGAGTTTGCTTCCTTGTTCCAAATTTCTCGACAAACCATTCATGATACCTTGTGGTGAGAGTGTGCCCAATAACCAACCCAATTATTAGCCCACTACCATAACCCAATAATATGATAATCCAGTCAACAACACCACTTGGAAACTTTGAATCATCACCATGAAAGCTCAAGGATAGTAGTGGTGAGACCTCTGAATTTCCACATAACTTCGATAGAGGGAAACCACACAACCCATAATTCCCATCATATGAATTGTTTTCAAATGTATCAAACTGATTCCCTCGAGGAATACGACCTGTGAGATGGTTGTGAGAAACGTCTAGGACTTCAAGGAAAGTGAGTCGGGTTAATTGCTGAGGGATCTCTCCTGAGAGAAAGTTCTGCGAAAGGTCCAATGATTCCAGCTGTGTCAGATTTGCCAAGGATGACGGGATGACACCAGTGAGATTGTTGTTGGAAAGGTTTAACATTTTAAGTCCACCGAGCCTTCCAAGAGATTCTGGAATTTCCCCTTCAAATTTGTTGTTTGACAAATCCACAGCTATGAAGGCCTTTTGGATCCTCTCGTATAATCTATGGGTGCCTTTGTTATCCATTGTTACTGAATATATGTACCTCATCCTAAGCATTATATTGCTGGTGACCCTTTGACTCATTTCCTCCATATATGTCAACTTTTCTCTTTCATTCGTCGTCATTGCATTCCAGATTTGGAAGTATTCTGACGGTAAGTTACCTGAGAAACCATTGTCAGAGAGGTCAATGATCCGCAACTTTGGAAATTTAAAATTGGTTTCAGCAACAGTGATGGCACCATGAAATCTGTTAGATCGCAAAATAAGAACTTGTAACTTAGGAAGAGCTCCCAACCACGAGGGAAAAGTACCCTCCACTTGATTATTTCCAAGAAGGAGAATCTCAAGCAGTGTACAATTTTGCAATGATTTTGGCACCAGACCATGAAAATGATTTTGACTTAGATCAATCATCTTCAAGTTGATCCCCATCATGAGAGGAATATTGCCGTGAAAATTGTTGTGACTTAGATTGAGCACTAACAGAGAATCACTGAAATCAGACAAACATTGAGGAATTGTGCCATTTAAGTTGTTATAAGACAAATCAAGAATTTGAAGAAAACTATTGTGGCAGATTGTTGATGGTGAAATTTCTCCCAATAATAAGTTACCAGTGACCCGATAAAGAACGGTGGACGGTGGTGGAATTGGTAGTGATCCTTGCAGTCTATTAAAACTGAGGTCTAAATATACTAATGACTGCCATGGAATGACATCAGGATGTTGTTCAAAACCTGTCAGAAAGTTGTTCCGAAAGCTGACCCCTCGCATAGATTCTTTAGTGTTGTTCCAAAACCAAGTTGGTATTTCACCGTGAATTTTGTTATTATCAAAGTTGAAAACCTCTAATTCATCTTGGAATCGCAGGAAATTGGGGAACTCCTTCATGTTACACGATGCCAATCCTAGAATGATAAACTTTGGAAGAGTAGCATTGGTAATATTTTTGGTAAACACCGTTAATTTGTTGTGTGACAAATCCAATAGAATAAGGTTTTGGAGCTTAAAAAAAATGTCTAGCTCCAATTTACCGCTCAAGTTGTTTCCAACAAAATTAAGATATTCAAGATGCTTGAGTTGAGATATTGAGCTTGGAATCATGCCATGTAGTTGATTGTATGAGAGGTCTAGACCCGTTAATTTGGTGAGGTTCATAAGCCAAGATGGGATTTGACCAACTAATTCATTTGCATCGATAAACAAAACGTATAGCTGGGTCAGGTTAGCTAAAAACTCTGGTATCTCACCACGTATTTTCATACATGTAAGGTATAATACATTGAGTTTGGATAGCTTACCAAGTGTCAAAGGGAAGGTTGGTGCATCAAAATTATTTCCACCAAGGACTAAGACAGTTAGTTGTGATAGGTTTCCTAACGATGCAGGAATTTGACCCCAAAATTGGTTCCAACTAAGGTCCAAATGGGTGAGTTTGGTCACACTACCAAGCGAAACTGGAAGCATCCCAGAAAAATGACATCTTGATAAATCCAATTGCTTTAGGGGACTACCAAGCTGAAGTTCAGGCAGATTACCAGTGAGATCGTCATTGTTTCCCATGCTTAGAATCTGAAGGTTTGGTAGTTGAAAAATGGTTGTTGGGAATTCACCATACAACTGACAACTCTTAAGAAGAAGAGTTGTTAGTGAAGACATATTTGACAAAGCACGAGTCACTGTAGAAGACATATTCACCCAACTGAGGTCAAGTACCTTCAAATTGGTAAGATTTTGAACTAGGTCTTTCAAATTGGGTTTTTTAAGTTTCAGAAGGCTTACATGATTCCAGTCAACAACATTTCCAGAGAGATTGAGATAAACCAACTTTGAAAGATTTGAGATATTTGAAGGAATTTGACCAAAAAATACAGAGTAGGATAGGTCTAGACTAGTTAGTTTCGAAAGGTTTCCGATTCTAGGTGGGATTTGAGAAAAATTGAAGTGATTGCCGGAAAGATTCAGCCTCTGAAGGTGAACCAAGTTAAAGAGGCTACTATTGGAGTTGATAGAACCGTAGAGAAAACTGCTACTGAGGTCGAGGCCAACCACATGACCAGTGTCGTGATCACACTCGACGCCATCCCATAAGCAACAATCACTGCTTTTTCCTTTGAACTTCTTCCATGATTCAACCTTTGAAGTAGACTTGTTAATAAAAAAGCTATGCTTGAACTGCAGCAAGGATGAACTCTCATCTTCATGGCATAATGGCTGCGCAGAAGAGGAAGAGTTAGACAACATTATAAAAAGATGAAAACAACACAAGAGCATGAACACATGAAGATAGAAAGATGAACCCATGTTGCATAACAAACTCTGAGTTACCAATCTTGGATGATGAAGCTAATGGCTGTGATGTGCTTTTATAGTTGGGATTAGAGAGTCTCAAAAATACGGGTGATTATTCAGTACTCCCGGAGTATGGACACGTGATGCTGCATAATGTTTTGATTGGTGGAGAGACACAAGGGCCCACGATTTATATTAGAGATGGGGGGACAACATGGGACTAACTAATTGGTGATTGGTTTGGAGTATGGACACGTGGTGTTCCGGGAGTATTGAATAATTTCCCCAAAAATACAGACTAGCATGCATGACACGATGGAAAAGTCTATAAACAACAAGTGTCAATGTCCTTGTGTATAAAAAAAATAATAAATAAAGAGTGGTGAAAAAATTGACAAATAATTTTTGAATAATGTTACATGCATCAATTGGTATATTAATTAATGTACTAACAGATGTTATGGTATAATTTTAGAAGTTTTGGATATTTGTCATTTGTATAATGGGTGTGGTCAATAATAATGACATAAGGTATGTTAGTACATTAGTTGGTATATCAATTGGTGCATATAGTATTACCGATAATCTTTTACCTATATTATCTCCTAATAAAGACTTAGAAAAGACTTGTGCAAATTAAAGAGACAAAGTAAATCATGTCCCCACAAATAACTAGTGCTCAGAATTCCTAACCAGTGATTAAAAATTCAGTTTACAACATATTCCATTATAATTAGGCATTTTAATTTAAATTTTAATTGAAGGGACAAAAAATATATATCAAATATCATTGTATTTTTTGTATCATACGGTATGTAGCAATAGGTGTTGGTTATTAGTAGGGGAAGGGGTAACCCAAACACATTGAACTTGTAATCTTCAATCGCAAAACATCATAGAGTTTAATTGTTAAATATTTATTAGATATGTTTGGATGAATGCGACTTTTAAACTGACGGATTTGAGATTAAATATTAGATGTTAGGGGTTAATGGGGGTAGGGGGAATTAACAAGGGAGATTGCTTGAACCCGAGCCACTTGGTTGGTAAGCCAACCTATATGTATATGCTATCAGGCTACAAGGCCTTTCGCTTACTATGATTTCAAATAGTGTAATTTTCTTTTTACCTTCTAAATTATCACTAAAAAAATAATTTAACTTATATATATTTATATTAATTTTATACTTTAATAATTCAATTTTGAATCAATTTTATCTTTATTGTCAATTGTTGTTTATTAACTTATATATATTTATATTAATTTTATACTTTAATAATCCAAATTTAGATTAATTTTATCTTTATTGTCAATTGTTGTTTAGAATAAAACAGAACTTACTGATGTGGCATAGAAACTTCTTTTGAAGTTTTATTTTAATCTCCTAAATTATTCCAAAAAATTAATTAGACCCCTGAATATATTGTAAAAAAATTAATTTAAATATTAGACTATAATTTTTATCTAAACAAAGGAAAAAATAAATTTCAGTAAAAAATTGATATATTTGGGTCATCGAGTATTCTTTAAAGAGTTGTTACGAATTTTAGCATTGTGTGCCCTTCGGTTAATGATACGACCAGGTAGGTATTAACCACTGTATCGTAAGTTGAGATCTCTATATATTCATGTTCATAGTTTAATATTGTTTTTCAAATTTTGAACGATGCTTATCTCAAAATAAGTATGATCTACATTTTTATCTACACAATTTTCAACATTAGAGAGAGAGAGAGAGAGAGAGAGAGAGAGGGGCTTGAAATTAATATGATCTAAATTTTTCTACATTATTTTTTTGTCTCTACTGTATTTTCGAAACTCACCATTCCCAACCCATTTCCGAGTAGGTTTAGAAAACATAGCACAAAATAAAAATATTGTGGGAAAATGTAACATAAATTGAAAATAAAACAAAATTACAATTTTTTACTCAAAAATATCTGATGCGATAGTCACATGACAATTTTTGTTGAGTAATTGTCCATGAACGAAAGACCTCTCAAAATGATTCACAACTAAAATTACAAATCTCATACACACTTTTTAATTGGTGTGTAACAATTAATTTTCCAGCAATTAATGATGCTTGTTTTAGGTAGAAATTATTTAGTAATTCCAATCTATATACTACGTGGTGAATCTTTACAATTATATCGGGCCACGAGACTACTTTTTCTTATTTTTTCTCACACGTTTTAGAGAAAGTGATTATGTGTTCCCTTCCTATAAGGTAGATGTCATCAATGGGATAGGTCGGGTTTACCTGGCCCTCAACTATTATGTTCATGTCACATATATTAATGGATTTTTTGGACTTGACCCTCAACTATTGTGTCCATGTCTCATATATTAATGGATTTTTTGGACTTTGACCAATCAATGGGCTAGTGGGGTTTATTTTAAAAAAAAAAATTAAAACCACGTCTCATTCGTATGCCTAAATCTTACAAGTCAAAATCAAACTGAACCAAGTTATATATTTTTTATTAGACTTATATTCACATTTTTTTTTAATAATTCATATGATCGAATTAATTAATACTATTAAAACAATCAAATTAAAGTATAAATGCACAAAATTAACAAATTATGACAATGACAATGTTCTATGTAAAAAGTTGAGAGTTAGGAAGATATCACCAGTCACTGTTAATTTCAATTTTAACAAATTGTCTTTTGTGTATTTTTTTTAAATACAATTTACAAGGATAATATAAACTGTTAAATGACTAAAATACATTTTTTCCATCAATTTTACTTAATAGAAATAAGCAAACAGTTTAGTTTGAAAAAAAAAATATCAAAAGATTAGTGTTAAAATTAAAAAATTAAAATCTCAAGATCTAATTTTTTTTTACAAAAAGTCAAATTTAATTTTTTAAAACAATCAAATTAAAGTATAAATGCACAAAATTAACAAATTATGACAATGACAATGTTGTATGTAAAAAGTTGAGAGTTAGGAAGATATCACCAGTCACTGTTAATTTCAATTTTAACAAATTGTCTGTTGTGTATTTTTTTTAAATACAATTTACAAGGATAATATAAGCTGTTAAATGACTAAAATACATTTTTTCCATCAATTTTACTTAATAGAAATAAGCAAACAGTTTAGCTTGAAAAAAAAAATATCAAAAGATTAGTGTTAAAATTAAAAAATTAAAATCTCAAGATCTAATTTTTTTTTACAAAAAGTCAAATTTAATTTTTTTTTTAAATACCTTAAAAACTATCATTCATATTAATTTATTTATTAAAAAATTGACCAAAACTCTCTCACGTAAGATACGCAATGCTTTAAGTACACAATTTTTTTAGTGGCTTAGGTCCCTATTTTTTTATTTTGGGACGAAAAGTTCACAAACTCCACGCTATCACCTAATGCCTTTTTCTGAGTAACTTTTCGCTCTGACTCTGATGACTTCACAATTGGAAATTAGAGGTCTAGCTAGTATATGATAAACAAAAAGGATTGGAAGATGAAAAGGTTGGTCTCACATCTTATCCTAAAAGTTTCTATGTTGTGTTGGAGACTTCCTAAACTATTTTAGATTTTGTTTAACATGCTCACTGCTGGAAAACAAATTTTTAGTGGTGTTTAAAAAACGCCGCTATAACTGTCAAAAACGCTGTTAATTTCTTTTGCGACGCTTAGAACCAAACGCCGAGGACGCGGCCGTCGCTATAACTTTGTGGTATTTTGAAAACGTCGTCATATTAGTATAGGCGGCGTTTTTAAAAACGCCATCAAATGTCCTCCTAAGCACATGCTGACGTCATTGACAATATTTAACGACGTTTCGGAAAAACGCCGTCATATCTTTTTTAAAAATATGAGGGTTTAAGAGGCGTTTGTAAAAATGCCGTCATATCCGTCTTCTTGTTTTTTTTTTTTTGAAATTGTGCTAATTTTTTGATTGAATTTAAAAAATACCTGTAATAGCACTAACATAAAATAATAACTCCCATTCAAATAGCTGTAATGGAGCACTAATTCACTTTCTCATTCAATTAATATCCAATCACCATTATCCACAAAATTAACATATCCAAAATTTAAAAATCATATTTTAACATTAACCACAAACTAACATATATCAAAAAATCATGTCTTAGCATTAAACTTGTAGTCTTCACTGGTCTATATGCCTACATCAGATAATGTCCCCATTGACCATGCCCATCGAAAATCCCACAAAACATCATGTCTTCTTGGTCTACATGCCTGTAAGCAACACTTGTTTGGTAGCTCAGAAAATGAATAGACAGAAATGAAGAGGAAAAAAAATTCAATAATCCGAATCTTAAACTTCCCAGTTATATATATATATATATATAATATATATATATATGACCATTCAGATAACAGATGATCCAGAATTTTCTTTAATTTTTTGTCTCCATTTTCTAAGCAACCGAACAGAGGGTAAATCTAAGTCTACAAGTAATACCCAAATAGAAGTAGAGAGAAACAAACAGATGAGTAAAACATGTGACAATGGTCAGAAAGCTAAGAATCTGAAATTTTTCAAAAATAAAAACAAACATTATGAATCAGAAAGAAACTAAACAACCATTCCATAATGGAAATCACGAAAAGCAGAGGAAATTAAAAAAATAATAAAAAGACCATTGCCTGTGGCAGCCGCAGAAGACCCAGAACTTACTTTACATTTTCTTTTCTTTTTCCTCTATTTTCTAAGCAACCGAACAAAGGATAATTCTACTGGAAAAAAAACAATCTGAGTCTGCAAAAAAATTCTTTACTTTTTCTTTTCTTTTTGCTCCATTTTATACGCTACCGAACATAGGGTAATTCTACTTGACGCAAAACAATCTGAGTCTGCAAACAATATCATAAATAACCCAGAATTTCATTTTCTTTTTCCTCCATTTTTCTACGCAACCAAACAGAGTATCATGAGAATCATGTAAAATTAAATAAATAATGCTCTCATAGCATAAACAAATTTAGAGGCCATTTGATCTAACTCCCACTCATTGTGTGCTTCTTTGTTTTTATTAAATTTGATACAGAACATCAGCAGAACAAGTTGTGTGCTTCTTTGTTTTTGTTATATCCTCACATGACAGACACAATTGTGTTTAATAAATGTACTAGAGGAAACAAAGAGCACTTCATCATGTAGTAAACATGTCAGTGTAACACATACAGAAATAATACTGATTGACAAGCAATGCTGGCTCTGAATAAGAGAAAAAAGAAACAGAAGATAATTCTAGCACTCCTAATCAACATAAGCACTAGACAACAAACTACTTAGAATGACTCACAGTGGGCATATCCACATAGTAGTTGATATGATTGAATGCAAGTGAAAGGGGTTGGAAGGGAAAAAACATTCCTTTTCTAGGTGCATGATCAGTAACACCAACACTAGAGTCAGCACCCCGTGAAGCATTTCTCACCGTCATATCAAAACCTATAAAATCAATCAGAAGATTTCAAAATTAAGATCAGTAGATCATTTTTTACACAACAGGGATCGATTAATGTCATGTCATGTGCTAGTTACAACCCAAGAAAAAGAACTAAAAGAGAAAGCTAGCTTTTTTTTATCCTCAAAAGTCTCACAAAAATTTGTCTTTACTTCTGTATTCAAAAACTGGCTTTATTTTTGCGCTGCATAGATCTGATTTAAAACAAGATATCCTTTTGAAAAACCTATTCCTACTGCTGTTTTCTTAATTCCTCTTAGGATATCCGGTTTCCCCACTTCATTGACATCATTACACACACAATGCAATTCAACTTGCCATGAACTTTAAAATGGAAAAGAAATGTGATAAAGGAGTAACTAGTGACCTACGTGTTTTAACTTAATTGGCAGCAAGAGAAATAGAAGACGAGATCATTAAGTAAGGATCAAAAGAGACAAAGGTAAAGGCTCAAACCTTCAAAGGTCATTCGTCCAGATGATTTCTTATTCTTCTTTCCAACATCTTCATCCAAGAATATAGATTTTGAATCACTAAGAGCTAATGTAGAACATCCAGAAACAGGGTTGTTAAGCCTGGAAATCTACTTCCAACGAAGGAAATCCATTTTCAAATAAAAATATCTGAACCAAATGACTAGATGAGATAAAAAGTCAATGCTGCAATAAATAAAATGTTGAAGAGAAGAGAAAAACCCAAGAGTGCTCCAACACAAACCCAAAACATGTAGTCATCCGTAAAGAAGCCTCTAGACTTGAGAAGGACTTTCCCAACTGTAGGTGCATGAATTTGGGGGTCTGGATTGGGCTGCAATAAGAAAAATGTTCAGAATTTTGAGAATGTAAAGATACTATGCAAACAGTAAAAGAGAACTTACGGCGCTCCATCTTTTGTCAAGAAATTCATTAATGACTAAAGCATTTTGTCCATACATCACTGGAGAAATATAATAGCCCCATATCATAAATGGCTCAATGTTATCTGTGGGCACAAAAGGAAATGAATGGTTGTAGATGAGGTGCTTTGATCATCGAATATATAAACAATCACATGAAAGAATCCACAACTTACTTGGTTAAATGTCAAGAAATATTCAACAATGTGGTATAAAGATTGGTAAATTAAAAGCTCATTCTAATTCAAGGTAGGCTCAAAAGTGAAAATAGAAATCAGGCAGCTTACTTTGGGCAACTATAAATCCTCCAAGCAGAATATTCATTATCAATGTGCAAGTTCCTAAAGTGCATACAACAACCACCTTTTTTCCCATAGCAACAAAGCGAAAGAGAGAGAGAGACATTTGATGTATACTGAACAATGCCAATAACTGCTGGAAAAACCTGAATCAGATGGTGGGTATTTGTCAGTGAATAAATTATCAGGTTCAAGTGACCACTAAATGCAGAGTAGGAAGAATAAATTTCTAATGAAGAATTTAAGTTGGTAAGCAAAAGTATAAACATGAAAAACTATCACGAGAAACCAAGAACACGCAGACCACTACTACCTGCTGGTGTCTGGAGCAAACCCAATTGTGTAATATGTAAGACTGATCCATATTGCTGATTCCACTAAGGAGAGGGGTATACTGAGGACCCAAATTGGCAACCCAAAAGCCCATGGAGGATAGAATAAGAAATCCCTCTGTTTATAGAATACAGGAAGCCTCAAAACAGTCAATGCAACCTTTGTCAACCCGTTAAACAATACATTCATGAGAGTAAAGAAAAGAGCTCTGAAATTTTTTCAATCAACTCTATAAAATGAAAACAGAAGGGCCTAAATTACAAAGGTGAACCAGGTGAAGTTTTAATTTCTACTTCACCAGCCATCATACTAATCTGTACAATCAAACCTTAATCAACAAGGCAACCACATTGAGAAACAGCGCCCCAGAACTATCAAACTTGTATATGTGCACTATACTAATGATATAATAAAAGAGAACAAGGTAGAAGTCAAAGCAACAACATTAATATATACCTTGACCCAAATAGCCAAAGATTCATCATGTTCTAACCACTTGGATTCTGAAAGAGAAGACTCTCCCTCCTTGTTACTCAACACCCTGCTTTCAATAGTATCTACAAGTAAATGGTCGGTCTTAGAGGCCAGACAAGACTCTGTGCAAAAATCCTGTCCATTCAAGTTCCCATCATTTGCATCTTGATTTAAAAATAGAAACATTTCCAATAGACATTATTAAAACATATATATATATATATCAGTATATATCATTTATGTATCTGCACATTGATACAGAAATCCCTCCCTCTTGGACCAAACTCAGTAATCCCCTTGCCTATCCTCCAAAATCCGACGATCTACCTACCCCTTCCCAGCCCCTCCACCATCGCAGAATCATAAGAGAGAGAGAGAGAGAGAGATGAAGGGAACAACAAATAATCGTACAAATTGAGTCAATCCGAACATACCTCAAGAATCGAACTGAGATTTTTTTCAGATCAGAGCTTGAAATGCGAGTAATCGAGGGGTCAGAGTTCAGATCTGAGCTTCTGGAAATCACTAAATCTTTGCAAATGAGCCGGTGGAGCTCGCTACCTCGCCGGTGCAGCTTCGAAATCGCTTCCATGGGGCTTCGATCTGAATCTTCGATGGAGCTTAGGTATGAATCTTTGATGGAGCTTCAAAATCGCTTCGATGGCGCTTCGATCTGAATCTTCAATGGAGCTTCAAAATCGCTTCGATGGAGCTTCGATCTGAATCTTCGATGGAGCTTAGGGAGGGTTGAGAGGGAGAGAGAGATGTGTGCGTACAAGAGTTGAGAGAGAGAGAGAGAGTTCTGAATCTTCGATCGAAATGCTTAGAGAGGGTTCTGATTCAAAATAAGGTTTCACAAGAGGAGGCGCGTGTGGCACCGCATTTGGAGGCGTTTTCCCATTATAAAACGGTGTCGTCTTGTCTAATAGAATATGCGGCGTTTATTTATAAACGCCGTTAAATACTAATAACAGTGACGTTTAAAAAAACGTCGTTAAAAAAACGCCACCAAATCCCTTTTTCCCTGTAGTGATTTTTTTTCTCAAAATTCATAACTAAACAACTTTTCTTATTTCAAAACTCATTTCAAAATTCAACTTAAAACTCTTTTCAAAACTTATAACCATACAAATTTTCCCTTTTCAAATCATAATTCAAAAACTGACAAACTCAAAATACAACGTCACACTTAAATCATAATTTTAAAACTAAACCAAACGCAATCAGAATTTTTCTGCCCTTATTAATTTTTTTGGGATTAACTTTGTGATTTAGTGACTGAAATTCGATTCAAACATAATTGATCACGTTGCTGCCATGACAGTAAACAAAACAAGAAATTCTATATTGGAGTCTATCTGAAATTGACTAGGTCTTTTTATATTTTATTTTTATGTGTTCGTTTGGTCTGTACATAGGCTTTTACGCCATTAGTTTTCTCTTAGTTCATCAATAACAAATCATTTTTTTACTGCACTTTTGGTATTATTATTATTATTATTATTATTATTATTATTATTATTATTTTGTGAAATTGCTTCTATATGTTTGATAAATTGTCTAAATGGGGCTGAAACATATATGTGTGGCTATTTGGGTTTTGATTTTTAATTTTAGGGTAATTTTAAATATATCTCCTTAGATTTGTTTAAAGTATACATTCTCTCTTATGGTTAGAAAAATTACAAATATCCCCTTGTTAAAAATTTGTATTTAACAGAATTATCTAAAAAAATAAAATCCATAATTGCTCTCCTATAAAATAATAAAATTATCTAAATTATTAATTGAAACATATTTCTAATATCATTAAAAACTGTTAATTAACTTGATGATTTATTAATAAAATGGGCGATTTATTATGAAATTAGAAATCTCATGCGGTGGAATGTAATTTCTAGAACTACAGGGGGGCGATTCGTATTTTAATCAAATCTCAGGGGATATATTTATAATTTACCTTTAATTTTATTACTATTCGTTTTTGTATTAAGGAGGGTTGAGTACTAAGAAATTCATTTGCTGCTGCAAATCTTCTATTTGGACAGAGCTCATCCGGGCAAGGCTTATAATATTATTGAGCAACTCGGTTATGTTCTGTTAGGCTATCCTTTTAAAAAAATAATAATGATTTTAAAAAAATCAGTATAATAATTATTTCCTTTAATTACTTTGACACTACAGTATTCAAGGATTAGACAAAATTTGAACTAGAGATTTGTTCATAACTCAATGCTGTTGCATTCAATATAAGTCAACATTTCATATTTGTAAATTTATTACTTTTTGCAGAGGCAACCTAAAGCCCTTGTGTTTCCTTTGTTATTTTTCATTTCTGTGGTCTATTTTTGTTCCTTTCCATTTGCTTATAGAAAATGTTGTGCAAATATTTTGGTTCCTTGCAGAATTTGTCACCACAAGAAAATTGACATACAACAGGATTCATGATTTTTGTATGCTCATGTTTGTTTTAAGTGCCCGAAGTTCTTGGCTGAGCTCCTTGTCTTTGAAGCCTTTGAACCTTATTTGATTTGTGCTTGGTTATGGACCAAGAGCTTGTTGTTTCAAGTCTGGACGAGAGGGTGGCCTTTCGGCCAGCCCCACAGCCTATCGGCCATGACTTGTGCCTGTCGGCCATAAGTGGTGGCCAGTCGGCTACCAGTGGTGGCCGACGGTCATTTTTCTCCTTTTTTAGATATTTGTTTGCCAGCAATACCAGCTGTTGCTCACTGAACTGCATCTTCATACACCTATGGTAGGATGAATTCAAGCTCAAACCTTGTTTTTCTATATATAGGGGGTGTCCTCCCCCATTTTTGAGGGTTAGAAATTTTGGATAAAAAAATCTCTCCTCTCTCTCTAGACTTCTCTCTCTCTCTTGTTATTTTGCATACACTTGCTTGGTTTCTCTACAGTTTTGCACATCAACCCTTAACCAAACACTCTCACCTTTAAGCTGAGGTCCCTTGGAGTTTTGTTTGAGCCTTGAAAGGGGATTTGAGCTTGAGTTTGTGGCTAAATTGTGCTTTGCTTCAAAGGTATAGAACTTACCTCATTTAAGCTTATTGTGCATACTTGCTTTGCCATCTTTTTCTACTGTTTTATGGCTGTTTTTAAAGTGTAAAAAACTCTGTTTTTGAGGCATAAAAGTGGTGGTTTGAGCCTTTGTGAGTTAGGGGGTTGTTCTCCCCTTTTGCTCCTTAGCTTATGAAGCTTTTTGTGCTATTTTTCATCACATTCAAATCAAAATTTTTGGGCCTTTTAACCACTGGAATTCAGAGGTTTTTCAGTGACAAAAACCTTCTTTTGAAGTCCAAAATTGGAGGGGTTAGCCTTCCCTCCTTGTTGTCTTGCTTGCATGCCTAGTTGCCTATCATGTTAGCATATTTTTCTAGCATTTTATAGCCTAATCTCAGCATGTTTTCGCCACTGTTTTGACCTATTTTGGCTCTGTTTTGGGCTGGTTTGGTTCTTTGAGCCTTGTATGGTGTGGTTGTAGTGCAATTTCCTTCACTAGTTTGTTGGTTCAATGCCTTGATCATCTTTCTTTTGAGTTAATGGCATAATTTAGTGTTGCTTTGCACTCCATTCTAGCACTTAACATCTCTGCCACCTCCCTCTATTCTTCACTTTTCATTTGTTTTGAAAGTGGTTTTGAACACCTTGTTGGCTTAAGTGTGAAATTGAGACATTCATGCTTAATGGTTTAATTCCTTTGGGAGTTCATTATCAACGGCATGAGATCTCTTTCATGCTCAAGGCACTTGTGGTTTAAACCCTCTTTCCATTGGAAGACTCTCACCTTTTGGACTAATCAACTAAAAAATTGATGGGTAATTTAAATTCAGTAAACAAAAATCAACAAGTAAAAGAGGCAAGATAAGCATCTTCGTGTTGCATTGCATGTGTTCGGATCGGACGTTAATTCGAACACGAGGAAAATTGGACATTTCATACTCAAAGTGATGAAATGTGCCACTTTCCTTGGTCACCATCACCCTTGATCATGCATGATAGGGGTAGTGGTTTTGTTGAGTCTTGTTTTGCACTCATTAAGCTTGTACAAGCTTGGTTCCTTAGCCATCATGCATAGAAAATGCTTCGTTGATGGTTTAAGGGCCAAGGGTTACACTCCTTTAAGCTTGTGTGATGATAAGGAGAGTAACAGTACACACACTCCTTCAGAACACACTGCTTTGCCTCTTTTTACTCTCTGTTGCAGCAAAAAAAGAAGTTCAGGGTAGGGATGGCCTACCAGCCACAAGTAGCAGCCAACCGGCCACCAGTAGCAGCCAACCGGCCACCAATGGTAGCCGACGGCCACCATTGGTAGCCGACTGGCTATCAATGAAAGATTGCACAAGTGTGGTCCTGAGTTAGAGCAGAGGCGTTCTGGAAGTTGGCAACGCTATTGGTGCTCAAGCATGTGCAAACAGAGGCTGCAATGGCAAGGCGATGGCATTTTCGGGAGAAGAATCCGAGCATGCATACATCCCTCGCCCCCCTTTGAGGCCATTTAATTGCTTTAGTTAACTTAGAATAGCTAGTTAATACAGGTGTTGTAATTATTCAATTAGCTTAGATAGTTAATTAGTTTAATTGCTTTAATTAGCTTAGCATAGCTAGTTATTTAATTTTGGTTTGTAATAATTAGTTAACTAGAATAGTTAAGTAGTTTCTTTTTGTAATAGCTTAGCTTAATTAGCGTAGCCAGTTAGCTTGTTTATTCGGACCCTCCTTCGCGAGGGCATGATGTTGTAATAAGTGTGTGTGCATGTGTGTATGTTTTCCAACCCCACATCTTTCTCCCTTTTATTTAATCGCTTTTGATGGTTAGATTAGGGACATTTTCAATTAGTACACCTTATGCTTGCATGTTTGCATCCATTCATTTATCTTGCATGCAGCGAGGCTCGGTGCATCATTCAAACTGCATTCCAAATTCAATACTTCTTTGAATACGTGTTTCAAAGCATACTATCGACGTGTTGCAAATACCATGATTAAGTAGCCGAGCCTATTTAGTTACATCATTGCATGTGTTGCATTAGTCATTTAACATAGTTAGGGATCACGTATTTTTTCTAACTAGTTTTTTTTTGTTTTGGCTTGGACTACTCTGTGAGTTTTTATGCTTTAGCATACTTACATGAGTGTGATTTCCATATTGTCATGTTTCGCATGCTTGCCATGAGGCTATGTGCTTAAATGCTAAACTGCATGAATGCCTATGGATAAAGGCTTGTTGTTTGAATTGGAACAATTTGACGAATGTACGTTTTAAACCCACTTTGTTGTGGCAAATCATGTTTTAAGCCCACTTGAGGTGGCAAATCCGCATCTTTTAAGCCCACTTGATGGTGGCAAAGTCAAACCATTTTTCACAAACAAACATGAGTTGAATTGTTCCAAGTCTTGCGACTAGTCTATACTTGCTTGTGTGCGTCACATAGTAAAGCTAGTTTAATAACAAGAATAAGAGCGCATAATGTTTATAAAATGACATATCATGATTAGTAGAGGTCGATCTTTGATTGGGCGAGTGGAGGTGCTCATTCCATGACCTTCCCCTCTCGTACTAAAGTTCTCGAGCTGAGGCAACCTTGGTGATGACGAACACGTGGCCTTTGGCACAAGTCGGGTTTCTTAAATTTTCTCAAAAACAAAATATTTAGGTGGCGACTCTGTAATTTGGCAAAGCAGTCTAGTTTTTGGCATTATTTGATTGAAAATCAATTTTCAACAATGATTTGCCGAATTTAGACTCATTGATGTTTATCAATTTCACATTGCACTTGTGAGACTAGATTTAGAACCGTGGGAGCCCGAACT